AACGTCAGCCTTTCTACTCCTATGATGCTGCTTGGCCTGCTGTGTTCATCCAGCCCTGCACCTTGTTGTCTCGGATTCTCCAGCATCTGCAGTTCCTACCATCTCTAACCAGATGTTTATTTTGATTGGTTCTGATTTGGATCTTGCTAAGTAATTTAACTGTTCCAAGCCACATGTAGGTGGACTTTCCAGCATGTGCACTTTTCAGGATACTGGCCTATGAGTTCCCTTACTCAATTCAGGCCTAATGGGAATCTTTTGTTGTCTCGAGTCCATATACTGGCATCAACAACAATGGCTTGCTAGCCTGGATCCTGAACAAAATGTTAGCCATTTAGCCAAGGCCTGGCTTTGTTTTGGGGTTTTGTTGTGGGCTGACCTAGAGTTGCTCTGTTCAGGACATGTCCTGCATGAGGCTATGCAATTACTTTCACTCAAGTGGTGTGCCCCAAGCTCTACTGGCCTGGTGAGGCAGTCCACTTCCATCAGCATACCCTGGAATTCATTTGCTCCACTGTCTGCATTTTCTAATGACAAAGCCAGTTATGGTGCCTGTTTGAAGTCCAGTTGGGCTTCAGTTTGTAGATACTTTTACATCATTGATCCTATATACCAAACAGTCTGTCAGAATCTCACTAAAGGTTAAACCAAGTCAGATGCCTCTGCCAGTCATCTTAACCTTGTCAAAAATCCCAACACAGATTCCCCTGGTTCTTGAACTGTTGAGCAAAACCAATAAAGTCTCAGAATTAGAGGAGGCTTAGGATCATAATATTCCTTCACTAAATCTGTCAACTCTTGAAAGGTATCTGGTGCCTCAGGAAGTTAGACTCCTAATAACCAATAAAGCTGTGGTTCCACAAACCGTCAGAAGAATTACTCATTGCTTTTCATCCGCCTCAATGTCATTTGCCTGGAAAAAAATAACGCATTCTTTACACGTACTGGGCTCTGTCTTCGTTGGCAGGATCAAGCAAGTCAAGCTTCCCAAATAACAGCATGTTATCAGAAATGCTTACCCCAATTCAAAGGTGGCTGTAGTGACCAAATTTCTTCATGAGCATAATTTTTCTCTTGTTGTCATTGAAATAACTCCACAGAGGCCCGTATCCTGTCACCAAGTCGCCCTTTATTTATGTGTGCATAGTACTTGACACTGGTCCAGTTCCTTCACAGCCAGCTCTCAGAGTGAACAGAACCTCTGACACTCTTGTTTATATTTGTCAGCCAAGGCTCCCTGATGGGACCAGGCTATCAGTCACAATCAGAGAACTCATATTCTACGAGGTCTACCTGGCTGACCCCGTTATAGTCACTGCAACTTCTACCTCTAAATGAACAAAATGTTGAGAATAATCAATGAAGAAAGGTTTTTTTCAAATTTGCAAAGTGAAAAAAGATGTGTGGAATGGTTGGGTAAGCTATCTACATAATAACACTGTACGTTTAAGCTCAGTCATAGAGAAAGATGAAACTTGCAGGTTTTCAATAATTATGCATAAATTTATTATTGAGGTAATTTTTGAAAGTTTTATTATTGCTACATTAAGTTTTTCTTTCAGTATGAATTTGCTGCATCTTTCACTTGGATAAATAATAAATCTATTTCTTTTGACTATTTGTTGAGTCTGGAATAATATTTAAAGGAGGAATGAGTTATTGAATTATTTTGTCAGCTTTGTTCTCAATAAATGGTTAATTGTTCTGCTATGTACAATCTATTCTCTATCTCTACTTCATATCAAGTTAGATATCATTTGCGTGGTGAATAGCTAATCGCTACAAGTAGTTGCACAACTGCAGTCATTTTACCACAACAGCGTCATACTTACTAACGCACTGAAATAACTGACATTTATTCTGCTCTTCTGCTTGGACTCACACTGACTGTACCAGGTAGGCTTGGATCTAAATGGGTTTCTTTAGAATCACGCATTTCAGTTTTCTTACATGTAATTAATATAATAATAACCATTCAATTAGTTTATAAATTGCTGGGTTTCTCTATTTGTTCTTTGGATATGGGTATCATTGACAAGATCAGCATGTGTTGTCCGCTATAATTGTTCTTCTTGAGCCTTTGCACTCAATCTGGTGTAGCTACAGCTGTTAGGGAGTTAAAGGCTTTTGACCTGGTGACTGTGAAGGAAGGTGATATAGTTCCAAGTTACACTGGTGTATGGATGGAGGGGAATCTGAAGGTGGTGTGGATCTCATGCATTTGCCTTTTCCTTTCAGTACACAGGTTTAGGAGGTGTATTTGAAAGAATCTTGAGGGATTGCAGCAATACGTCTTGTAGATGGTATATATTGCAGTCACCGTGCTTCTGTGCTGAAAGGAATAAATGTTTAATGTAGTGGTTGGGTGCTGATCCAGCAGATTGCTTTGTTCTTGATGGCTTCAAGCTTGAGTGCTTTTGGAACTGCTCTCATCTTGGCTAAAGGAGGGTGTTCCATCATACTCCTGTCATGGATCTTTTCCATACTTTTATGGAACATGGGTGTCACTGGCAAGACCAACATTTGTTGGCCATCCCTAATTACCCTTGTATAGAATGGACCCCTGGGTCAATTTAGAGGCCACCTAAGGATTAAGCCAAATGCTGTGGCTCTGGAGTCACATGTATGCAGGACCAGATAAGGCAAATTTCCTTCCCTAAAGGATATTAATGAAACAGACAGGATTTTACGGCAATCAGTGATAGCTATCATGGCTGCCATTATGGAGACTAACTTTCTATCCCAGACTTGGGAATTGATAGTGCAAACCTGTAACTCACAGCACTATTATATATCTTCATAGTGCCAATAAGCTGTGTCATTATGTGTATTAAATGAGTGGCATATATATTTTATTTCATTCTGCTGCATCTACGGGTTTAGTGTACAACATTTGATATATATTTGTCCCAATGCATCAAAATATCCTCTATCAGCAAAAAAAAAACAATGTTACTGAATTGCTACATGATGCACTGGGGAATGTAAACACATCGAGTTATAATATGGACACTGCTGGAAAACAGTTGTTGTGGTGTTAAGAAATTCACAGGAGGTGGAAGAACAGATCATGAAATATATAATCATTACTAGAGGGCAGGTGATACTATATTTATCAATGTTGTTCTGCTGGGCTGTTTTCCTGTATGTGGGTTGAGGGCATGGTAGGGATACCATTCCACAAACTTATTTGCCTTTCTGTCAGCATGGGGGCAGCAGGAATTGCAGAACACCCTGAGAACAGTTTGCGCTCTCCCCCTACAATGCCACTATCAGTTAAAGGCTGCTGTATCTATATTTTATGTTTCAAAAACTTGAGAAAGCATGCCTCTATTTTGGAGTGCCCTGTCTATCACTTACCTGTCATACTTGCTTGTCAAAAATAGTATTTGCAGTAATGTCATGAAATCGGTTATGCAGTGTGACACCAACAGCATGGGTTCAATTCCCGCACCATCTGAGTCTACCACGAGGAACTCTCCTTCTCAACATCTCCCTTTGCCTGAGGCATGGTAATTCTCCGGTTAAACCATCATCCAAGTCTAATGACTGTAATGAGAGAGCAGCCCTATGTCCTGGTAGGACTGTGGAAACTTTACCTTTACCTTAAATGAAATCAGTAAGACAGGAAAATGACTTGCTGTTATGAAACAAAGTAAACAGGATAGAAGAGGCTTTATATCAGTGAGTACAATCCTTAGCACTTCGACTTTTGTCCTCCTGTACTGCTATACAATCGGTTATGTCAAACTATCCTATCCAATGGTTATTCTGTAAGTATGGATTTGCTTTAAAGGTTCAATGGATGTGGTTTAGGAGTAAGATACAAGTTTTTTGGTGCAAGATGTATCTCTGTGATCGACCAGGACGGATTAGCATTGATACAACAACTGCCCATGGATTTTCTAGCGGATAGCATGTTTCCAAAGCATGTCATTTTCTCAGTCGCCAGATTTTCTCTGGTTAAAAAGAAATTTATTCAGAAATCAGTGATGTCAGTCTGCATTCCCCCTTCTGCAGGCAAGGTATGAATCAGTTACTAATGAACAGAATAAGGCTGTGAATCTGCTAGGGTTGGTAATTTACTTTTGCAAAAGTGACAGTTGGCTTCATGAAGTAAAGAGTAAACGGGGGTCTTCAGTTAGAAATCAACCTCTGGAGGTTGCAACTGAAATGTTTTCTTCTGAATCCATGCGATTTCTTTGGAATTCAGTTGCCCAAAGAGATTACTTTCCTTCTCAAACTAATATTCTCTGAAATACTTCTGCATTAAGACATGATCCCAGAACAGCACACACCAGAAAGAGTCCCTGTCAGATCTGCAAACACTTAATAATAAAATTTGCTTTGCTTAGAAAATTTTTTAATGTAGCTGAATCACTTTAGATCTGGAAAGAAGTGGGAGCAGTTTAGAAGGTAGAAAAGCAGGAAGCATCTTCTTTGTTTATAATCTCTGATGGGATAGAAAAGTGTTGAATCAAATGTACTTTATGAAATGATTATTAATCTTTTTGCATGTTATATGAACCAAATATACAAAAGCAAACAACATAGCATAGCTCTGGGGAAGTGTCACTGGACCTGAAGTGTTAACTCTGATTTCTCTCCACAGATGCTGCCAGGCCAGCTGAGCTTTTCCAGCAATTTCTGTTTTTGTTTCCGATTTTCAGCATCCACAGTTCTTTCAGTTTCTATTTAACATAGTACAGTCTGTTTATTTCACAAGTGGAGCAAACGTTCACCATTTATTTGTGAATCTATTAATCATCCCTACCCAGTTTTCCTCAAGTGAAAAATGAAATATTGTTTGTATTCCAAATGTAATTTAACCGTTGACATTTATAATCATCTATGTAAACCAAATCGCTTTCATACGGTGTCACTTCATTAAAGTATTATTTGCAGTACTATTTATTTTATATATAGAGTATGAATTAAAATACTGCAATGCTTGAAATAGCAAATTAACACATGGTTCTACAAATTTCTGCAGAAATTGAATGGCATCTTTACCATATATCATCTTTGCTGCAGCCTACCTCTGTCTAATAGTGGCTAAACCAGGTAAATTGAATAAGACGATCCATTTAATAAATTGTTTTCACATTGTACAGTTAAAAAAGATCATTATCAATTCAATATAGAATGTCAAACCAGATCATTTGGTCTCATCATTGCCTCCACATGGTGTGAGACTGGCTCTGTGCAATAATGGGGAAGAGCATGCCCTCACTGAACCAGATTCTTAGTGGATTAAGATTTGAATATGTAGTTAATGAGTTACTAGTTATGCTCCATTCCGTGAACTAAATCAATCTGGGTTCTGAATCTGTAACTCTAGTGTATATCTTCTGACCAACATTGTGATGCACATAATCTCATGATGTAAACTTGACTTCAATCTGATAAAGCTCAGCTGATATAAACTGAACTTTACCAAGAATATTTTCATAATTTAATAGAGATTTTCTCCCTACACATTCAGATGATTGTGTTGATCTCCAAAATGAAGAAAACGACGTATCAATTCTTGAATACGAGGCATTTAAGTTAACAGTGTTTTATACAATGGATTTATTGAACCCTGATGATTCATTTTTATTTGAATGCAACAAGAATACTGTTACAGTCACAAATCAAAGATTGCAAAATGATCCAAATAGACCTTTTCTTTGTTTTTTGCCTGCAACACTGAGAGACTCTGGGACCTACATCTGCTACTTGTGGTAAGTTTTCCTTTTCATATTAAGGGAGAAAGAGATATGCTGAATAATTGAATCACACTAGTTTTGAAGAAAAATCCCCCAATCCTTGATTTAGTAAATGTAGCTTGTGTGAGTTGCACTGGTAAAATGGAGTAACATAGCAGAACAGTAGCTGGCCTGAGTGTTTAAATTTTCTGACCGTTGTCTATTAACTTATGCATGAGATACGGAATCATGAGGATGAATATTCAAGGATTCAGTTCAGTCAGGCTGGACTATCTCCCATTTGATGGAATCGATGAAGAGAACAAACCTGGCTGTGCATCATGCAATTAATCTCAGTGAGTTGCTGATGCTGATCTCAACATGGTGCTATTCTCAGCTGAGGAGCAGTCTGACTTTGCCCTTCTTTTGGATGCATGTTAAGTCAACGGCAGAATGATGTCGATGTTTTTCATTAGGAAAGAAATCAACTGCAACCACTGCCAATTTGAATTGCCAGTCGTCGCTAGTGCTTCTTCGGTGTCATTGTGCCTATTGATTATTTGTGGAGTGGAGTCCATCAATCAACGACATTTCTGAATCCCCATCAGTAGCCATCCCCATTTTGCCAAGCCATCCATTAACCTATTGAGGTTGTAAAGGACATTGAGTGATTGTACCTGTACCAGTGCAATGGGCTGCAATGTGAATTAGAGATGTAAAGATTGATGTAATCTGACAGATAGCCTACGGGAAGTGAATTCGTATAGATAGTGAAATCCTCCATGGTAACTGCTTCTGAAAATTTCTAATTAAGTTCCATAATTCCTTCAACAATCTGTCATATTCCAAAAACATTTGTTTTTTGTTTAGAAGCTTTGATAGGAGCTGATTTTGGGGTGACTTTCCATTCAGGAGTCTCACAATCCTGCATCCCACCTCCAGCTTCTTCTGTTCAATTTGCTCCACAATTGCCCCCCACAGTATACTAGCCTAAAATCACTAACTAACCTCCACTGTTTAAATACCTGTGTCTTGACTGGAATTTCTTCTTAAAATGCAAATTCTTTAACGTACATTGGCATTCCTCTTTATCTATTCTTGGCCTTATTTTTATTAAACTATACCGTCTGTTTAGAACTGAACTGCCTGTTTCTGTGAACCTTTAATCCTAAAGAAGTTTGAAATGGTCCAGTTGCAACATACATTTCGGTACTTTCAATGACAACTTTTCAGCACAACTCCTCATCAAAACTACCCAATCTAAGCTACATTAAACTAAAAGGAATGACTATGTACTATACAACAGAAACTTACAAACTATGCTATACTTTGATGCTCCAAGGAAACAGATTCATGAAAATTGATATGTTTTGAGACAGATTTCTTTGAGGCAACTGAATTATTTGCTTAAAAGAATGATTTAATTAAATTCATAGAGTTAGTCTGTTGATTAACGTTGTTATAACTGTAATCAAGATTTTATAAGTTTGCTTTATTTATGCGTTATTGTATAATTGTGATGAATATTATCATTTCAGGAATGCATCTTATTGTGTCATGGACATTTTTCATATACAAGTGCTTCAATTATCCCATGGTCAGTGCTTTCATGAGAATTTACTTGAGCTGCCTCAAACAGAATCTCCTGGTTCTATATTTATTCATTGCCCTGATATAGAAGACTATTTTCAACCATTATCAGTTCTGCAATGGTTCAAGGTATGATTGTCAGGCAAAATGCTTAAAAGATCCGCAGAGGGTGTGATTTTCTTTCAGATATTTTAATTGCTAAGGAGATGGTCTCAATGTTTTTAATTAACTTGCTCAGACACATGATAACACTTGCCTAGAGCAGGTAACACTTGATTGATTGATTGGTTTTATTGTCACGTGTTCCGAAGTACAGTGAAAATCTGTGTAAACAAGTGGTACAGGCAGATCACAGCAAGCAATGGATGTACAGACCAAAAGGTTTAGAGGCATACAGGTTACATTATTTGAGGCTAGAGTCCATTCAACAGTCTGATAACGGCTGGAAACAAGCTGTACCTGAACCTGCTTGTTCATGCGTTCAGGCTCCTGTATCTTCTGCCTGATGGAAGAGGTTGAAGGAGGTCATTACCACGGTGCAATGGGTTTTTGATGATGTTGGCCACCTTTTTGCAGCAGCGAGCCGTGTAAGTAGAGTCCATGGATGGAAGGTTGGCTTCCGTGATGGTATGGGCTGTGCACACCACCTTCTGTAGTTTCCTATGGTCCTGGGCAGACCAGCTGCCATGCCAAACCGTTATGCTTTCAATGGTGAATCTGTAAAAGTTGGTGAGGGACCTTGTGGACATGCCAAATTTCCCGAGCTGCCTGAGGAAGAAGAGGTGTTATTGCACATTCTTGCCCATCACATTAACGTGGGTGGTCCAGGACAGGTTGTTGGTTACAGTCACTCCGAGGAACTTGATGGTCTTCACTCTCAGCTTCAGTTCCATTGCTGTAGATGAGGGTGTGTCTTCCTCCTTTCCATCTGAAATCAATGATCAGTTCTTTAGTTTTGTCGACGTTGAGAGATGTACCTAGCCCTTCTAAACCAGAGGTAAGGATGTGACCACTGTGCCTCAAGAGTCCTTAAGGAGGTGGTCTAAATTGGTTCTTAAGTCAAAATACCAGTTTAGCTCATAGTTAGTGAACAGATATCCAGACAATTTTTAAGCATCAAATTTCTATTTTGATTAATTTCCTGCTAGCACTCATCAACAAAGCTGCATGACATTTTGATTTTTATATCCAGAAGCACTCTTATGCACAACATTTTGACGGATAGAGCTTAATCTAACACCCGCTATTGATATCAATCAGGTGATTTGGGAGTACTCAAGTCATTTCTGAAAATTTTGAACACTATATAAAGGTATATCACCTTTACTGGTCATTTGTCTTTGGTTATTTGAAGAATTATGGAGACACAAACAATAAATTAACATCTGCCTTTCTGCTGATCTGAAATTTTCCTACTTTCATTGCATTTGTTATAGCCATCAGTAGTTTTTAATGGAATTTTGCCAGTTGCAATCAATCTGAAGGATAAAAGAAATAGGACCAAGGCACTTTTTGTTTGTTGAGCATACTCCATCACTGAATAAAAACATTACAATGCCCTCAGTTCCTCATTGCTTGATTCTGTCAGTATCCAAAAATCTATCAGTCTCTGACTTAAATATGCTCACAACTAGGCATCCGCAGCTCTTTTGAATAGAAAATTGCTAAGATTTGCAATCCTTTGAGTGAAGAAATTTCTCCTTCATTTCTAAATGGTTTTATTTGTGTACAATGATGCCCAGTTCTTGGAAAATATTTTCTCACTGTATACCCTGTCAAACCTCTTAACAGTGATACATGTTTCAATTGGATCACTTATTATTCATTGATTGATTTATTGTTGTCACATGTACCAAGATACAGTGAAAAGTGTTGCTTTGCATGCTATGCAGGCAAATCGCACTACACAATATGCATCAGGGTGGCAGAATAGTGTTAAAGCCGCAGGGAAGGTGCAGCGAAAGGGATCAGAATTTAAATTTGAGAGGTCTGTTCAAAAGTCTAATAACAGTGGGGAAGAAGCTGTTCTTTAATCTATTTGTGTCTGTATTCAAACCTTCATATCTTCTGCCTGATGAAGAGAATGGGAAAAGTCTGATTATGTTGGTTGTTTTCCCGAGGCAGTGGGAAGAATAGATGGAGTCAATGGATGGAAGGCTGGTTTGCATGATGGACTGGCCTGTGTTCACGACTCTCTGTAGTTTCTTGTGGTCTTGAAGGAATATAGTTCCAGTCTACTCAATATCCCCTTATAGGGTAATTGGTTCATCCTAGGAGTCAACTGGTGAACCTTTGTTGCACACTGAGGTAAGTATTTATGTCCTTAGGTAAGGAGACCGTAACTTTTTATCGTACTCCAGTTCTCACCAAAATGCCCACACAATCGAGTTAAAACATCTTTATTTTTGTTATCCTATTGCTTTAATACAAAAGTTAGCATAATATTTACTTTCCTTTTCTACAAGGACACCAGATTATCCTGAAAATTCAAAACATTTTGGAGTCTTTCATTTACAAAATGTTCTGCATTTTGCTTTTTTACAAAAGTACATTTCCCCATAAAATATTCCATCTTCCACATTCTTTTGCACTCACCTGACTGGTTTAAATCCCTTATTTTATCCTGGTTGTAACCTCCTTTCACATCTAACCTTGTATTATCAGTAAACTCGGATTACACATTCAAATCCCTATGATTTCAAATCAGCGTGATTACCTTCACTTGTATTAAATAGATATAAAACTAGATATCAAGACTATCCCTTTGAAACTCCACTAGTTACAGCCTCTTAACCAGAAATGATCGCATTTATTCTTCCTCTATTTTCTGTTCACTAATCAATCCTTAATCCTCACTAAACTATCTCTTCCAATCCAATGAATCCTAACAGAAGTGCTCTGTCTTCATATCCTAACAATAGATCGATAACTAGGCTCATGGTAAGCCAGGGCCCTTGTATAGCAAATCTCCATTGGTGGTGTCACTGTACAAACTCCTTTCCTCTTGTGGAGTGATGCTACATGTTAATGCTACAAGCAATGCACACCTTACTGAGGAGTGTCCCGTCTGAGGAGTAAGTGGCAGACTAATCATATTAAACGCAGCATATAAGAGGGTGATCAGTTGCCTTTGGGGTTTGAGTTCACTAAATATGTAAGTAACAACAGATTTTAGCATTTTTCAAATGTACAAATTAAGAGTAAAGGTCAGCACTTCTGCCCCTTGAGCCTGCTTCACAATTCAAGAAGGACTTAACTGATTTATTTGTGTTTCCAGTTCCACATTCCCATCTACCCCCAATAACTTTTGATTCCCTTGCCTAACAAAAATCTACCTTCATCTTAAAAATATTCAACGATGATGACTCAAGATTAATTAAAAGGCACTTGTGGGATTTTAGTGTTGTTACCCTTTCCTAGGTAACGAGAATCCAGAGACAGTATGTTCCCATTAGGGTGAAGGGCAAATCTGATAGCTGTAGGGGATGCTGGATGACTAGATAAACTGAGGCTATGGTCAAGAAAAAGAAGGAAGCATATGTCAGGTATAGACAGCAGGGATTGAGTGAATCCTTGGAAGAGTACAAAGGCTGTAGAAGTATACTTAAGAGGGAAATCAGGAGGGCAAAAAAGGGACACGAGATAGCTTTGCTAAATAGGGTTGAAGAGAATCCAAAGGGATTCAATAAATACATTAAGGACAAAAGAGTAACTAGGGAGAGAATAGGGCCCCTCAGAGATCAGCAAGGCCGTCTATTTGTGGAACCACAGGAGATGGGGGAATTACCAAATGAGTATTTTGCATCGGTGCTTACAGTGGGGAAGGATATGGAAACTAGAGAACTTGGGGAATAAGCAGTGACAGTTTGAAAAATGTCCATATTACAGAGGAGGAGGTGCCTGGATGTCCTAAAATGCATAAAGATGGATAAATCTTGGAAACTGGTCAGGTGTACCCTAGAGCTCTGTGGGAAACTAGGGAAGTGATTGCTGGGCCTCTTGCTGAGATATTTCTATCATCGATAAACACAGGTGAGGTGCCAGAAGACTGGAGGTTGGCTAATGTGATGCCACTGTTTAAGAATGATGGTAAGGAAAAGCCAGGGAACCAAAGATCGGTGAGACTGACATCGGTGGTGGGCAGGTTGTTGGAGGGGATCCTGATGGACAGGATTTACATGTACTTGGAAAGGCAAGAACTGATTAGTGATAGTCAACATGGCTTTCTGTGTAGGAAGTTGTGTCTCACTGACTTAATTGAGATTTTTGAAAAAATAACAAAAAGGATTGATGAGGGCAGAGCAGTGGGCATGATCTATAGGGACATCAATAAGGTGATCAACCAAGTTCCACATGGTAGGCTGGGTAGCAAGGTTACATCACATGGAATACTTGGAGACCTGGCCATTTGGATGCAGAACTGGCTCTAAGGTAGGAGACAGAGGGTGGGGTGGAGGGTTGCTTTACAGACTGAAGATCTGTGACCAGCAGCGTGCCACAACGATCGGTGCTGGGTCCATTGCATTTTGTATTTATATAAATGATTTGGATATGAATGTAGGAGGTATGGCTAGTAAGTTTGCAGATGACACCAAAATTGGTGTTGTAGTTGACAGTGAAGAAGGTTACCTCAGACTACAATGGGACCTTGATCAGATGGGCCAATGGGCTGAGGAGTGGCAAATGGGCTTTAATTTAGATAAACGTGAGGTGCTGCATTTTGGAAAGGCAAATCAAGGCAGCACTTATACACCTCATGGTGAGGTGCTGGGAAGTGTTGGCAAACAAAGAGACCTTGGAGTGCAGGTTCAAAGCTCCTTGAAAGTAGAGTCGCTGGTAGATAGAATAGTGAAGAAGGCATTTGGTGCTCGCATTGATTTGCCTGTGCATTGAGTATAGGGGTTGGGAGGTCATGTAGTGGCTGTGCAGGACATTTGTTAGGCCACTTTTGGAATACTGCGTTCAATTCTGGTCTCCTTGCTGTAGTAAGGATGTTTTGAAACTTGAAAGGGTGCAGAAAAGATTTACAAGGATGTTGCCAGGATGGAGGGTTTGAGCTATACGGAGAGGCTGAATAGGTGGGGCTATTTTCCCTGGAGTGTTAGAAGCTGAGGCCTGGTGTTATAGAG